CCACATACTACTTGGAGCCTTATCTTTCTTTTAAGCCTCTATTTTAAGTGGGGGTAATATTTTTACCTGGAGAACTGAGAATACCTTTTCTCCTGGTACAGAGCATCCAATATTCCCCTAATCCCTCCCTACAAAAGCCAAGCAGCACATACACACACCAGCTAATTATATTATTAGGAGCTTAGAAGGAAGAAACCAGAAAATTCATACCTATGAGAAGTAAGAACATATGGCTAGGGTTACACAGTCTACTTAGGACTGTGAAGAATTTCCCATACTTGGCAGAAGATATTCTTGCCACAAGGCAAGAAATTGCATGTGTTTTACTAGCACATGCCTGCTAGAAACTGACTAAAATGGCTAAAACACACTTAGTAGCTTTACTAGCAACATGTTACTAATAGCTTTTGTTCACTAATAGCATAGTTTTTGCTAAGGACCTTTTGCGAGCTTACAAGTATTTGAAGACTTCCACGTTAGTTGATTTTACACTGACAAGTTCTTAGCGTCAACCTGGTTTAAGATGTTATTCAGAAATCCTGGCTGCTAACCAAGGTTTATTCTTTGTAATAAAAGGCCAAAGCTAGAGCCAAGAGTCTCAGAGGCTAATGGGTTAGAGCCAGACCATGAATAATTGAGGGTATGTTCTCCATTTATGGCATTGAGCGGCAGCATCTGGCTGTGAAAATGCATTTGTGGGAATCGCAGGGTCCTCACGCTTTTCAGCAACGAGCCCCTGTGGCTGTTGTTCCTCACCTTCCCCAGACAAGTCACAGAGTTTGACGCCACCGCTTGTAGCCTGTGCTTCAGCAGCCAGAAGTCAGACCTTTTCTGAAGTCTATCAATTTCGGCCTCAGTGCCCAAGCAAAGCCAGCAGGGACCAGCAACACCACCACACATGGGAGTTAGAGGAAAGAACAGCTGCCACACATTACACTTGAGTATGTGCCATGCAGAAACCATCACACAAAACAAGATGCATTGCAACCTATAGGCTTACCCATATCCACTCTAATGCAATTCTTCTTCCCTTTCCAGAAGGAAAAACTCACCTCATGGGAAGAATTATAGCAGCTTTTGAGCTCCTCATGATCACACAGAAGGAGGAATGTCACCAGTTCATTACTAGGGGCCTTGCTTCAGGCCACAGGGAGGTTACAACTATACTCTTGCAATATTAATTACTGGCCTGGGACAGCTATATAGCAGCTTATTGGCTACGCACAAAATGTTTCCATATGCTGAGCTACTGCAGAGGCTGGCGCTGTGGGTTTTGCTAGACAAACACTGCAGCTCCCAAGAAGTCTGAGTGGTATTCTGATTTCTAGTTCCAGCAGTAAACCTTTACCACTGGAGATGAGCTGGGATGCCTCGCCCAAGGAGCAGCAGCAGGTTTCTTGCTTTCTGAGAGCCTGAAGACTTTCCTCCTGGAATCTTTTTTTTAGATCAGGTTTATAAGCATCAAATACCCCTCCCTGCCCTGAGGCCAACCACACAAAGGAACTGAGGCTGGAGAAAAACAGGAAAAAGGTGGGGACAAGAAGCAGCAGGAGAAGCCCCTCAATGCTATCATCAACTTCCAGAGCTACTTAGGGCAGAAACCTGAGACGCAAGCACAATCCATATACAGTAGTGGAAGACATACAACAAAATACCCAACTGTGTGCTGCTCCAAGAAATGGAAAGGAAAATTATAGCTAAAAACGCCAAGCATGCAGCACAAATCGTTTACGAGGAGAACACATTTGTAATTACAAGTTATTTTAGCTACCCTGCTGCCAGGAGTAACTCGGAGCAGAAGGAAGCGATCAGTGTCATCATCTCGCCCCCCAGGGACCAGCCGATGCTGCTGATACTGCAGCACCCGGGCTGACTTTTCTTGGTAGAACACCTCCCTCCAGCGGCCAAAGGCAAGTGCTTTCCACAGCGCTCGGGCACTTGAGGACCCAAGCCGGGAACAAGCAGCAGTCCTCACCTTCCTTCCTTTCTCCTTCCAGCTCCACTTCAGGCTGAAGGAGAACCAGCAGCGCCTTTCCCCACCTAGCAGTCATCTGCTCAGGTCTGGCAGCTTCGCATGAACTGTAGCCCTCAGAAAGCATTGCCACCTGATTAAAGCAGGGTGCTCTGGGGGCACCAACCAGAAAGAGGGGAGATCAGAGATCAGCCCAGGACAGCCTAAAATAACAAGTTGTACTCGCAAATCAGACAGATCATTGCACCCTACTGTGGGTCCAGGATCCACCTAAGCCCTTCTTGCTCCACACTCGGCTGCTCAGGGTAATTGAACGCTTGATTTTTAGATCAGTTGCCACCAGTGTGCTCATAGCACCCCAGCATCATCTTCTAGGTCATGCTCATTACTTCCTAAAGCAACAGCTCCAGACTCCACTAGCACACCAATGCAGGACATTCTAAGGACAGACATTTTAAATGGCCAGAAACACCACCGCAGAGCAGGTTCCGAAGCAATTCTGAGATCCAGTTCATATCGACTTCTCAACTGCTTAGCTGAGGGGAGCAAGAAGATTCATACAGTTGCTCTAGCAACTCAAGAGCTCTAGCTCTCAAGAGCTTTTCAAACAGCCAAGCCCAGTGTGTGGTGGCATAACCTACAAAAATGGCTACCTCTGCTTTCTTCTTCCTCACAGTGGCAGGGCAGGGCCTGAGAAATCTTTAAAAATAGCAGTCCAGAGGCAGGAGCCTACTGAAGGTGAGTAAGAAGGAGAAAGTGACAAAGCTAAGCTAGCAAGAGCTGTATGCACTGTGGGCATAGCAGCAAGCTTATGTTTTGTCAGAGTTAGCCCCTAAGGCTTATGACTTCATACAGTGCAGACTGCACAGATTTAAAGTGACATCTTCAAATACAGAGATTGCTTAGCTTAGGAGATAGTAGGTAATTCAAAGGAACTACCACTCAGTCAGCTCATCCTAGGACAGATACACTTGATAGAACATGGCAAAGTCTAGTCCAGAATATAGAACAGGAAAGTTGCCACCTCCCTCTGCCGGGCAGTTTCTTCACAGTCCACACTGTTCCCACACACAGGCCTCAGAACAGCTTTTGACAGGCCCTTTGCTGCCTTGAACAAACAAAGTGTCAGCAATTTGCACATAAGCAGAAGTGGATGGAGAGGAAGCAAGGGGAAACCACTGCAACGCACAAGTCAAAGGCAGGGATATATTTTTTTAGCAAAGTCTTTATTACAGAAATATTCACCCTCTAGACTTTAATATCTGTACATGCATTTCTTCCAGTAGGAAGATGTTGCTAAAAACAGACAAAAACCAAAAAGGAAACCCAGAATGGGCTCCTTTTTACTTGCTGCTCAGCATTGGCATCTGTAACTGAACAAGAATCTTACAAATAAGAACACATTAGAGAACAGACTTTGTGCTACAAAAGCTAGCAAGCTTTACTGCTAAGAAAGGTGCCTTCTGCTATAGCAAAGGTCAGCTTGAAGGATCTGTGCAGGAGGGGGCAGGTGTCTCAAAATAGCAAAGTCTTTCAGACCTCCACAAAAACCAATTGCCCAGTTGTATCCCCAATCCCTGCTGTGTCCAGAGGACAGAGCAGGGACCCACTGCTGGGGCCCTGAATGCCTGCACGAGCCTTTCTTCCCAGAAGGAAAACTGAGTACGTAAGTGAAGCCATCCCTTTGGACTGCTACTAGGATTATTCCTACCAACCCCACCCCTGACAAGAGACAGTCCTGGGACCACCTCAGTAAGGCAAAAGCTCTCTCACCAAGTACCTTGTATCATGTCTCAGGCAAGGACGAGCCACTTCTCTCTCATACAGCTTCCTGCTGCCAGGGTGATTGCACAGATGTGTAACTGCAGGAAATCTTGTGCCCAAGCCACCTCTGAGGATTTGCACCCAGCTCCCTTATCTAAGGTGTTGGGGCAGTTTTTCACATACATTTCCTACTTTCTTCTGCTCTACATCACTCCTTGCTGCTAGCCACTGGCTGAATAGAGCCAACACTCCAGCTGTTAGGTACAGAAATCACCCAGCTTACATGACTGCAGAACCAGCTACTTGTCTGCTGCAGTGCTTACACTTGAGACAGAACTCGGGATGCAGCCATGGCTCCAGACCACAGTGGAGTCAGAAGACTGGACAACTGAAATAAAAGCAACTTATCCTTGCATCCAAACCACATAACCTAAACTGGGCACTGGTAGCAGTGGTATCTCTAATATACAGCATCAGCAATTCAGTCAGATGCCTCCGTATTCATAATTAAAAACCACAGCTAACAAATTTTATGTTTATAAAGGGGGCAGCAGAAGAATCTAGTTATTTGTAACCTCTAAAAAAGTAGGCAACTCAAGAATGCAACAAGCAGGGCCAGCCTGGGGGCTGAGTCCACGCTACGCAGCAGTCTCTGAAGTGCCTCCAAGCTGACAGGAGCCAGCAAAGCAGTATTAAGGGGAGAGGAAAAGGTAAAGCGGTAAGTGGAAGAAACATGTGAGTGTCAAATCCAGAACCCAAGGGACCCATTCCAGAAGCAGCTGTGCACCACCACCACAATCTGCCAGGCCACACTAGAAATAGGTAGACTTGACTCCCTCCCAGCAGCTTCTCATCACACTCAAAGGAAAGAGCTCTGCTGAAGGCAAGACATAGTTGACTCCAAAAGCAGAAGTGAGTATGATGGTAGCACTCGATATTTCAGATGAGAACATAGGCTGGAAGATGCACAACAGGAGCCAATTCAGGTTAACTGCAAGGGAGAAGGCCTAAAAAGCACAACTAAGTTACCATCACAAGTCAGTGAAGTACGTGAAGCTACCAAAAATACTGGAATCTCAACAGCAATCCTGGTTCATGGGACAAAGAGATGCGATTTCTGAGGGTAGAGGAAAAGAAGTGTGGGAGGAGAACAAAGAGTGAGAGGAGTTATTTTACATTAGGCCCAGTGAGTTGTAGAATGGAGATATGAATAGTATTGTTTAACGTGGAGCAGGCAGCAAAAGCATTGTCCCTCAAGTTAATTGGTGTCTCATGTGATACAAGACAGTTGAGTTCTGCTTCTTGAAGTAGAAATAATCCAGAGGCAGGATGCAGGTGGCCCAAGGACCCTATTGCCAGAAGATCAGGCTGTATTGCAGCTCTAACAGTTCTTAGCAGAGTGGTATCAGAAATGGGATGTCACAGGAATAATGGTCAATGGTTGGACAGTCTGGGTATGAGGCTGGAATGTTCCATTTGCTTCTTTCTCTGTGGTGCTGTAGCTCTCAGTCAGCCAATTCAAGACTTGGGCACTTTGGTGTAGTCTTCGCTGTGTATGTTCTTGCAGAGTGAAATGGACAGTATCATCCCCAGCAGCTGGAATAAGTAATGAAGAATGGGAACAAAAAATCAGCAACCAGATAGATAATAAGGTAGGAAGAAAGGGTGGTACAAGGAAGTAGAATACAGTGGTCTCCTTTTAATGACAATATACAGAGTTGGTCCCAAATGCAAGAAAAATGTAGGAGTCAAGATGACAAAAATATTTTGCTGCAAAAAGATGTGCCTTCATCTGGAATCTAATGCTATGGGCTTTTTAAGGCAAAAAGTGGGATATCTCACTAGTGGGATGTTGCTTGTCTCATTCTTCCTGGTTACATATGCAGAGAATTTTCAAGAATCAGACAGAGCAGCAGGAACCACAAGCAGACCAGGCTCTGTTCAATTTTTAATTTAACCAATGAAAGCAGCAGTTCAAGGCTCCAGGCAGACACAGCTAAGAGCTAAAACTGCACTGCCATTAAACCAGGTGTCTATTACTTGAAAAAATAGCTTTACCTTCAAAATAGCCCACATGGTAAGACAGTATAGGCTCACATCAGGGAGTGACTTACCTCTATAACAGCAACACCGGTGCAGACCCCAAGAATGACACCAAGGTTGTCCTTCAACCACTTCTCTACACCATCCATGCATCCCTATGGAGAAAACATGGTCACAAGGGAAAGAAGCACAAATCTAAGTATCTCAAGACTGAAAACCCATAACACATCTCCTTGTACATGCAGAAATCATCTCAGTTACATGCTATACCAAGTTCCCCAGTAGCTTTAGCAGAACAGGACAGGATCCCTGTTCTTCCCCTGGCTCCATTTCCACAGGTACTTCAAGAAATCATGCCATGAAAAATGTGCTCTAAATAATTTCAGGAGGAACAAAGACAAGGTGACTTCAGGGGAAGCTTCACAGGCCCCAGATATATCCACTCACCTGCTCATGAACAGGCCAGTCAGCATACGTTGCAGTGCTGTTGACAGGGACATCCAGATTACAGAAACCGCTATCTACCTGGAGGTCCTTGGAGCTATTGGAGCAGGAGCAGGGATACATAGTCATGCTTTGATTGATAAGAATCTCATTATTTTCCCAGTCCTTTGCTCCAGTCCAGCCACAGCAGGCAATCTAATAAGCAGAGAGAGAGATCATCATGGTCTTACACTTTGCACTGGTAACATACAGCACGTGAAAGCAAACCAGCAGTGGAGATAGAAGCACACAGGCACTCTCAGTGTAACAACAGTAGTCAGGCCATACAGTTTGCATGATTTAGTTACATTAGAACATCATCCTGGTTACCAGATGAGAGCCTATGCATTGGGTGTCCAGAAGAAAGAGGTCTTATTTTCTACCAAAGAATTACTTTGTTAGCAAAACAAGAGTTAAAGAGCCACTTCTAGCAAACTGTGAGCATAGAAGACTGTAATATGCACCAGCCATCCATAAAGTTGTAGCACACCAGTCATGCTAGAATATGAATCCTTCACAAGCCTTACCGCATAAGGCCAAGATATTCAGATTTCAGCAGGCCATGCAGCTTGACATCAATTCGACAGAGTAATTTTGATTAGTTTTTGCAGACTAAATACTAGCAAACATCATCTTATCTCCAGGTGACAGTGCTAAACAGAAGTAAAAGTGCAAATCAGATGTTGCTGGTAAGTCAGCTGGAGGAGGGCAGTTGTCCTGTGTGACACATTTGAGAGATTATTATTTTTTCAGTCCCTCCATTTCATCAGCAGCAGATTGACTTGGTGAGGGAGAAGCATGGCAGGATTACTACCTAGTCTTCCACTAGTGATATCATTTCTATAGGTTCAAATTCTAAGACTTTCTTTTTCTTTGAGTATCACACATTTTTGTGGTAGACATGAAGCAGGAACTTTTGATTTTCTGGTTCCCAATGGCAAATTACCATTGAACTCAACTGTGGCCCCGGGGGACACCAGCAGCCACCGCACGATGGCGTTGACATGCCACCGAGCCCCAGCGAGTCACGAGTTTGCATCTGCCTGGCTGCCATTGGGACTGGCTGGAAGATGGGATGAGGAAAGTTTTCCATCTGAAGAAACAGCCACGTGATAAAACTGCAGTTGCTGGAGGGGAAAGCACATTGGAAAGTCCAGCAAAGACTAAGATCTTATCTTAAGCATGGATCCCAGTGCTTACACAGTAATACGAAGCAGAAAGGTTATCAAACTTGAGGTGGAAGATAAGGGAAAAACCCCCTCTGCTCTGAAAGGAAATGTAATGTTTCAGTCTGACGTAACAGACATGAGAGCAGAGGTACAGACAGCTGAACAACCACTCCATGACAAGCATTTGGTTTCCAAACAAGTGTTGAAGATCTAGACTCCAGAAGGAACTGCCTCTGCCTCACAGAAGTTTGGACTAACTCCAAGACTGGTCTACAGAAAACCCAGCCCCTCCCAGATGGTAACTCTAGCTTATGATGGGAATTAGACTCCTAACACTCAACTTCTCCACCTCTACAAAACCTTCTTCTTCTGTTTCTACATAAAAGAAGGGCTCAAGCAGGATCGTCTTTCCACAGTAGACTCTGCCTTCTCATGAGCTCAGTAGCCAGAAGATGCAACTACAGTGACAAAACATAAATAAATCATTCTCCCTCCGAGGAGGTGAATTACTGCAGGTCAGTGTTTTGCAGACTGCAGAACAGACAGAAGAAAAAATGCTATTGCTTGTACTTACTACACAGCAGTTCCATGCTGAGCATGTATTTAATCATCACAGCCAGCCAGCGTTCAACTTTGTGGTTTGGCAGTAAACAGTTATCACGACTCCAGCGTGCCTGAACACTGACCTAGTTGGTCAAGCATTGACCCTGATGCTAAAACAGAAACCATGGGCAATTGGATGGTTCCCAGGAATGCTGACACTTGCAGAAGAGCCATCACAATAAGCAAGCAACGTGCACCAAGTAGTAAGGCAGGCAGTGTTGCTGACTTGCCTGGCAATAAGCTAGGGACTTTACTTGCTACAAAAATAGTATGCACTGTGGCTTTCACACATGTTAGTATTATGGAGGCCCTGCAGACAGAAGAGTTGAGGTGCCATTTGATAGGCCAGATACATCAGGCTATGCAGCAATATTAGCTAGTCCTAACAGTCAGCATTCAGGAATGGTTCAGGGTCTTACCTAGTAATAGCAAGCAAGACCATTTTCTAGTATGCAGGTACCAAACCTCATAGGCAACTTTGTAGATCAGCCAAATCAATGTGCTACAGTATTGCCTCTTGCAATACCTGTTTCACTGTCCTCAGCCTAGTTTTAAAGGTCATTTACTGCACTGACAAATAGCATCATCTGGCTTTTGCTGCCCCCCATGACTCACCTGTGCTTGTACATAGTCCCATGCATCCTGTAAGTTCCTCTTATCATCATTCGAAGGGTTATAATTTTCAATCAGACTTCCAGCTATGTGGGACAACTCTTCTTTCAGCTGGCAAGATAAAGAGGCAGGAGAGTTACATTAGTTAATTCCTTGTAGCCTCTTCTTCAGGGCTTAAGGTACGCAACACCCTTCCCTGTGTTAGTCCTGCTATCGGTCCACCTTTTCCACAATGGAGAAAAACAGGGGCTCATCATTGTCATCACAGAATATTAGGAGTTGGAAGTGATCTTGAAAGCTCATCCAGTCCAACCACCCTGCCAGAGCAGGATCACCTAGACCAGGTCACACAGGAACATGTCCAAGTGGGTTTTGAATGTCTCCAGAGAAGGAGACTCCACAACCTCTCTGGGCAGCCTGGTCCAGTGCTCTGTAATCCTCACAGTAAAAAAGGTTTTCCTCATGTTCAGATTGAACCTCCTATGCTCCAGTTTGCACCCATTGTCCCTTGTCCTGTCATTGACTGTCACAGAGAAGAGCCTGGCTCCTTCCTCCTGACACTCGCCCTTTACAAATTTATAAACATGAATGAGGGCACCCCTCAGTCTCCTCTGCTCCAAGCTAAAGAGACCCAGCTCCCTCAGCCGCTCCTCATAAGGGAGATGCTGCACTCCCTCCATCATCTTTGTGGCTCTGTGCTGGACTCTTTCAAGCAATTCCCTGTCCTTCTTGAACTGAGGGGCCCAGAACTGAACACAATATTCCAGATGTGGTCTCAGCAAGGCAGAGTAGAGGGGAAGGAGAACCTCTCTGACCTACTCACCACAGCCCTTCTGATACACCCTAGGATGTCATTCACGAGCGTAAAAACATTGTGCTTTGCTCTCGCTCCAGTGAATGAGGCTAGAGCAGAGACCCTGCAGATAGAGACTACAAGCACTAGAAGGAGACAAAAAAAAAAGTGGAACAGGCAGTAGCTTCTGCTTAGACCTTCTCCAAAGGATCTGAAGAAAAAACAGTAATAGGTGCTCAGTCTATCACACACTCACAATACAGCTATTTATAAATTACAGCAAAAAGACAGATACAACCATGACTAAAATCACTGGGAAAATGAGCATTTAATTGGCACGTAAAGCAATGTTTAAAGAGGGGAAAAAAGCAACCAGGCAGTGACAAAACCCCCGACTGACCTTCAAATACTGTACTCTGCAGTCTTGTCTATGCTTTTGAGACAAGGTAATAAATATGATCAACAGAATGAAATACAGAATAGGTTTACCCAGATAAAGTCTCACTATGATGACTGTTTCTTACTAAGACAGTTGATTTTTTTTCCCAGGCAAAGGTAAACACGATAAATTCACACTAAACTTTCAAAGTTGCATGGTCTGCTGCAGTCTAAGAGGGAACTTATTCTGAAGAAAATGAGTTAATTCTAGGTCTCCATTTCCTCTACCAATCAGTTTCTTTCTCGAGTTTACAAAGCAGATGGGAGACTGCTACTCAGGTTTCTCAGAAGCTGAGATTTAGCATAACATCCTCTGCTTATTAAGTATAGCATTATGCTTGTTACAGTGCTGATCAGAAGCACATCTGATACAGAGAGGCTCAGACATCAGACCAAGCAATCATGTATCCCCTTAAGATCAGAATAGAAAGGGAAATTTAATTCACAAGAAACCAACGTTGTGGGGAAGTAAGTGGTATAATGTAGGGAGAACAATCTACCACAGAAGAACTTGGGATGCTTGGTGGCCACAAAACAAAAAACCCTACAGGTTTCAGCAGTCCACAGTCAGAGAACAGAAACAGTCTTAGTTTGCATTAGGAAAATCCTTCCAGGAGAGACAGGAAAACAGTAAAACAATTGTACAAAGCAAAAGTCCTATCTCTTCAGAAGTATTACATGCAGCTTTGGACACTCAAAAAAAGCTAAATGCAAAATAACAAGTGCAGCTAAGGCAATATATACAGCTTCAGTCTTGAAGGGAAGGCAAGACAGCAGCTTTGATACGCAATGCAACAGCCAAAGCACTGGTACTTTCCAGCAAGTCCTTGTCCAGGCACACAGGAGGTCTACAAACCTGATGAGCAATAAGGAAACAGAACTGGGTATATGGTTATCCTGATAAGACACAGGCTGCCACAGAGGAGACAGAAATGAAAGGTAAGTGCAAGCTAAAGAACAACATTGCCCTAAGTACTCACAGGTAATATATTTCTAGCCTTGCACTGCAAACAAGACTCTGGCCCAGAATCTCAGTCACTGCAATTAATCTCCACTGCTCAGGGAAGGTGTGAGTCACTTTGCTCCTACACGCAGCTGGGTTTTCCGACATACAGCTGGTGGAAACTTCCCTTTTTCAAAAGGCATTGATCTGCCTCTCCCCAAACTCCTACAACTGCTGCTTCTATATTATGACAGGAAGTACTACAGCTATCTAAACCACTCTTTAACAGTCTTATCACAGATCATCCCTTCATCCCCATTTCTTAACCAGAGATATTTACAACACCTTTCAGTTTGATGAGAGGTGCAAGCTACCACCCAGCAGACCCCTTCACCTTCTTTCTCCCACCTCCTCCTGAAGCTCTTCTCAGCTAGCCTGTACACGAGGAAAGCTGTTATTGCTAAGGACAAAAATCACAAGAGGCTGGAAGTGTCATTAGACTGCTTGAGGGATGGGATATACATCAGCCTGAGCACTAGGATGCTCCTATCTCATGTATTACCTTTTTGTCTGTGGTACTACAATGTATTTCAGATCAGTGGAGCAGTTTTTCCCTTTCCTCCTACTGCCAAGTATTACAAATGACCAAGACAAACCCAAGGACACCCAACAAGAGAAAGCAGCGTCCACTGCTAGAGAGAAGTTTCTCTACATCAGCAGCTCTTCTTCCTAGGAAAGCTGCAGCTCAGCTCACTGGGATCAGCTATGTCAGGCCAGACAGATGGGAGCTGCATGATCTTTTTTCTCATGATGCCTAGCTCTTCCCCTTTTAATTACTTTGCTTCCCCTTTTCCTTCCCTTCAAATCAAGGCAACCTGACCTGGTTCTCACTAATGAGATTGGCCTTGGCTGCTGCCATAAGCCTTATCAGTTACTGAACCTCTGAGTTCCCACCCTCACCCCTCCCGCACGCTGCTGCTCCACACGCACAGAGCAAGGAGAGCTGGGTTTGTTGCCCTACCCTGAGCCCATCTGGCCCCTTTTCTGTTAGGGCAGACAGAGCCTAGGGTCACTTCTGCAAGAATCCTAGGCAGTACCTCTGGTCTCCATCCCAGGATCCCACCACAAACAGAGACAGGGCCTGAACTAGATGTCCCCAGTCACAGCTGCATAGAGAAGCTGTATCTCTGCTCTTCCCCTACTCTTACACAAGAACAGGCAAGAAGTCAGCTCTGGCTTCAAAAAGTGAGGCATTTCAGTTAAAGAAAAACCAGGCATTCTGAGGTGTGTCAGAAATTGGAGAAAGGGGAGAATATTACACAAACAATAGCACAGCTCTGGAGAGCACACACAGAGACAGCTTGTTCACAGGTAAACTAGCAGAGCAACCTAAAGGGGAAACAGGTACCTGCAGCTGATCACCCTTCCACACTTGGCAGAGGAAAACTGAAAAGCAACAAGCTAGAAAGGCATATTGAACACTTAGGCAGGCTTTCAACATCCTCGCCATCTTCATCCACTTAAGGCCTGTCAGGACTCAGTGCTCTGGGGAGCATGTGAGTAGCTCCAAGAAATGGCTACTCTTGCTTTCTGGGCTCCTGCTGCTTCCCAGCTCCAGCTAGCCTGGTGTCAGAAGGAACAACCCTGCCACCTCACAGTGGGCAATTTGAAGCCTGGGCAGCAGTGCTGTTAGTCTGCTCTTCACATGGGCTTACTGAAAACAGAGCTGGGGAAAGCTGAACACCAGACACAAGAGCATAGGTCTTTTGATTCCAGTCTCAAAATGAATTATGCAGGCTTCTTCCACTGTCAGACACTGTCGGTCATCTATACTGTCCCTCTGTCCCAGACTCAAGCTAGATCTTCCCCCAGCACTTATTTGCATCTAGCATGCACATGAAAATAGGCTCAAAAAACCAGGAGGGGGCTCTCACCCCCTCAGTCACTTCAGATTCTGAAAGTAATGCATAGCCCATAGCTCCAGGCAAGTTGCTGCACATAATCCACAGGCCTGCTTGCTGCAAACAATAGCTAGCAAGTAGGGCAATTCCCAGAAGACTACTGCTCTTTTCTCAAGGCATTCAGAGCCAAGGAACTGTGTGAATGAGGCCAAGAGAGACCTTGCCCAGACTCTCGCATGTTTAGGGGTTTGTGATCCACTAGATGTAAGCATATAGCAACATTCAGCTCATAAAGCAGAATGCCATTTGCAACATTTGTGACATTACTACTTTGTTGACCCTAAAAAAATCCCATCCCACAGTTTCAGTCACCAACAGATAAATGGATGTTGCATCAACATCCTCCCAGTAGTCCTGGGCAATTCCAGTCTGAAGGGGCATTCCTCTATCAATGCCCACGGGGCAGGGGCGGGGAGAAGAAAAGCAGCAGCCTTCCTGTCAGAAACTCAGCCTTTTGCAGTTATGCTAACAATATTACAGCGTACTTTCATGTCAGAGTGGGGAATGGTTTTGACACAGAAAAGGAACAGATATTCCAACAAAAAACAAACCATCAAGTGGATCTGTTCTGTAATTATTAATCAAGAAAAGGGCAGGTATAGAGGAGTACAACAATAATCCTGCCTACTCTCCTGCAGTGCCAAAATAAATACTTCAGGTACAAGAAGTGGAGAAGCAAGTATCACCTTGCTACATTCTGGATTCAAGATACTTTCCTGCACTCTTGTTATTCCTTGTTTTATATCTGACCGAGTTCCTGAAGTCAGAAAGAAATAAACACAAATAACACAATAGACATCTAAGGACCGGATCTTGAGCAGTTTTCAGTTTGCCTTACTGTGCTCCAAGCTGCCCTGGGATGACGTACATCTAATGAAGCAGAGCGACATGCATAACATCACTGAAGCACAACCACAAACTAGTATGTAGGAGGTTTCAGCCAAGACCTTCCTGAAATAGGTTTTTTTTTAAAGTGCTCTAAGTAGGTACTTCAGAGGATCTCTGAAATAGAAGGGCTCTAGAAGAGCTTTTCCATAAGTTTTGTTCACTGAGGACTGAACTGGAGCATCTATTCAAAGCCCAGCTTCCCCTACCATTCATCTGGATCTGTACAAGTGATGATCTCAGCCACATCAGCTTCAAGAGATAGGCAGAACAACCCCCATCACTTTTATTCTCTCTCTTGTCTGAGTGAGGTTCAAATGAAGATCTACAGCTCTAAGGTGGTGTTTTCTAGGGTAGAGTGACAGCTGGAGGAGAAATATCAACAGAGATACGGAATTTCATGGTCCAAAAAGTCACATTTCCCCATCGCAGGGGAATGCCCATCCCCACACCTCCTCCCCTGCATTAGTCAGACCTGTTTGATGAGAATTGGCAGCTTGTTTAAAGCTGTAACTTCATACACCCGCTAGTCAACGTTTCAGTTTCTCCTTCAGCTCCAGCCAGCCCAGAGAGCAAGCTACATTCATACCACATTTGGCAAGGAACCCAGCCAACAGCTGCTAACAGTCACCACAGCCACTTGTAGAAAGCTTGTATCAGTCATGCCTGGGGCAGGCACCTTCCCTCCCACCGCCAAACTTCACCACTGTCCATAACTTCCTCAACCACCTGCTTTCTGCAACCACCTAGCAGGAAGGTTGGCTTAGGAGAAGCAAGCACAGCCATGCAGCGGTATAGACAGACAGATATGTGGCAAAGCACAGGGTTACCCACAACCGGTATCAGAAAACTGTGTACCAGGACAGAAGCCAGCACAGATGCCACAGCTATTCACTGAGTGAATGTGGCTACCAGTGTAGCTGTCAGACAGTTGGAGGCCTGACCAGACACTGCCCTGGCCAGGGAACCTATAGTCAGGAAGGGATGTTGCAATGCACTTAAGTAGCTCAAAAGTTACTCCCTTTACACTACCAAGCCTATCAGAGCTCTAGAAGTACGCACTGTAAAACTGCATTCCTGACAGAAATCCACTTCAAAATGTTAAACCACTTGGATTTATGCTTAAGCTGTAGTACAGGAACTGTCGGTGCTCTGTTTTGCCTTTGGGGAAAGAGGACAGTTCTTCCAAGGAGAGTTTTACATGCTGATTCAGAAGGACAGAACAAAATGACACAAGGAGGAAGGCCAGACAGAAAACCAATTGCTCAGGCTGGTAAACCCTCAAGGCACCAGTGATGGCAACGTGGTAGTAATCACTGCTACTACGTGCTGAAATAGTCTGCAGCAGGATCAAGAGGAGGTGTGGTCAAAAGCCTTTCAGGAATTTCTTTTTACTGTTCCTACTACCCAAAAATAAAGCCTGCATACCAAACAGAGCTTCATAATCCTTGAGAAAGTAGCACTACCAAGACTGGCAGATGCAGAAGCAGCAAACTGCACAGAAAAGCTGCTGAGCTGGGGTAGAAGAAAGGAGAATCCAGTTATGCCTGCTAACAGTATAGCCCAGTTTTGGAAGAAAGAATTTCCAGGGGTCTCCTGTTCCCCCAAACCAAAACCAGGAAAAGCATGCACAGAAAGAAACACTTACCGTTTCTTTCTGGAAGTAGATGACCAGTCCAGCAGCAACCTGAGTTATGAGGATTACCATCAGGCAGGTGAAGTACTGGAAATAAAAGAAAGCAGATGACCACCATAAGCCTTTAGAAATGTCTATACATAATAACACAAGTTTTAGTAAGACTTCATACACAGGAGCAGTCACAACATTGAGCCAACACCTTGGACTGCAGGTAAACTGTGCTATCAACAGGGGTTCCCCCAGTCAAAAGACTTCAGTGCAAGCATCTACATCAGAACTTCAGCACTTCTCCCATGAGGGAGAGGGTTTACAAGCACCCTCTCCATGTGTCCTTCCATTTGGGACTCCCTCTCCCACCTCCAGTTCCATTTCCAGTCCACTCTGACCTCAGTCAGTTGTAGTCTTCCTACCTCAAGCCTCCATGGCAAGAAAAGTCAATTTTACAAACCCATTTTTTAAAATTACTATTTTTAAAGTAAATTACCTTTTTAAAAAATGCTATTTAATTTGTTTGAGGACCTAAATTTAAGATTTACCAGCAAACTGCTTTCACGGAAAGTTTGACATCTGAGCTTACATTTGAGCTGTGGTAGCTACTACCAGTACATTAGGAGAGGTTCCTAATGCCAGGATGCACAATGCAGCCATACTTGGTTTCCCATACATATATGCTCTGAATAAGAAGGAATCAAGTAGCACACTGAGATGTATGAAACATCATCGCATCCACCACAGACAGGAAGTTTCCTATTAATGAACCATTTGAAGAGAGGTCCTGACATACAGGACATTCCTAGTCAAGTCTCTCTTGACTCTTGCACTTTCCACAGAAACTGAACTTTGCAGCACAGCAGGACACTGTCACTCTCACTGCCCTTGATTCTTGTTCTTTCACCACTGAGAGCACAAGACCAACTGGGAAGTCAGGCTGAAGGGATGAGGTGTATCTCAGGACACCTCTCCTCAGTGCACAGCCCTCAACTTCAAGTTTGCAAATAGTGCCAGTGTCATCCTGTGTCATTTTGCAGAGTTATTTGCTCATCATCAGTAATGTCTTAAGGAACTGCTGCTGCAGCCTGTTGACTGCTAGAGAATTTAATGTGTGCAAATTAAGAATTGAATCTTAGCTGACCTAGCAGAAGTACTGTCACAAAGAGACCTGAGCTCCAGCTACAATCCAACAGATATTTTGCAGGAGAGGTATTAAAGGGTGGATCTAAAACATAGCATGAATTCTCTTACCAGACCCAAGAGACATCGGATTTCATTGACAGCTCCAAGACAACCCAAGAACCCCATCAGCATGGTGAGAGCCCCAACACCGATGAGGATGTATGCAGCAGTCTTCAGGGAGGGAGATGACATCTCTGCAAGGGCCAGGAGAGGGAACAAAATTAGCTACTGACAAAAAATACATCTGCCATCACCATTTAGAGAACTGCCTCCATATCTACTTATAATAGCCTGCTGTCTTCTATAAAGGGACTGCACAGAGGCATGTTGAACATGGGGACAGAAGGCTGATTCGGGGTATCTTCTGATGAAGGAAGACTTTCAAAGCCAAGCTGCAGGTCTCCAGTATCTCAGAGCCTGGAAGTTTCAAGATCACTCCAAACAAATGAATTTTGTTTGGAGACAGTTACCTTACTGGATTTTTAACTCCCTCGTGAATGTACTCTGAGTGAGAGTATGCTAAAGTATGTTCTGCTCCACAACTACTGCCTATTTGCTTCAATTCCCTTCACTATCTATAGGGAAGCTTTTTTCCGCCAAGTCCTAAAACCCCTTTTTGGCTTGACTTTTCACTTTAATGCACTATTCCCTGTTCCAGCCATTCTCTTTTTACTTATCCACTTGCAGTCGGCAGTGGGATACAGAAACTTCGTGGAGTGAAACATGGTGCAAGAGCTACAGCTGGTGTTGAACATGGATGATGTGACAGGTTACTTCACAAGTCAGTGTTGAATGGCTTGTGGTCAGGCACTCACTGCAAGCTGTTGCAGGACCTGGGCACAACCTCCTACAAATTGATGCTATTCCAGGATCAAAACAGATATCATGCCTAAATTAGTTACTTTTACATATCTTCCTAGCTATCCCCTGCTATTGTGTCTGGAATGCCTGTGCTCAACAGTTTTTCAACCAATTTAGGTAATATTATTTCAGACATGCTGGCACTGTCAGTCCTCTCCTCTCAACATTTAGTACTGTGAGCAACAGAAGAAACAAACTCTTACATCTGCGTTGGTCACAAGACTATTTCTTGCAGAATAGGACTGGAGGGCGCAAGCATTTATTCACAAAAGTTGAAGAGATACTCTGTCTAGAAATAGTAACCAGAAACCTCCTTATCATTAACAGACACACTTAAACCTGTGAATTTCACAGTGTGAGGAAATTCTGGATGTCCAGTGATTAGTGAAAATAATGTTCCTAGAGCTCAGCATTTAGTTTCCTGGACAGAAGTCCCATAAGGCAAGCTTCCTCTGAGCTCCTCCTGAAATAGATTAAGAGAGAGTAACCAAATCTAGTCTAATACTTTCTCCCCTAACACATAGCTCCCCTCCACTTCTAATACCTGGTGCAAGTCACCAGCTTTGCAACTTTCCCTAGAACATGCTGAACAGAGGAAAAAGATCAGTTATCAACAGATGAACCAAAGCTGTTTGCCACACAGGTCACTTCAGCCTTGATTAATTTCCAGGCCAGACTCTCCCTGGCTGGACATGTGTCACAGAAACCAGGATCCTGCTCCTCCTTCCTCACCAGTCCTGGGACTCTCACTGTGCAGGTTAGGTGCTGATAATGCAAAGCATTTACTGAAACAACAGCCTTACAGGAGTGGCCTTCACAAGACTACAGTATTCCCTCCCCCAAAATCTGCTCAGCTATCATATAAGCATCCAAGTGCCTGGGCTGCAGCACCTACACAGTGCCAGAAAGCAGTTGCTTAGTCAACTTCTAATGAGAAGAAAGAAAAAGGTATTTCCAACTCAAAAGCCCTTCAGAGGAACGACAGTGGCAGCGGGACAGGAGCCGTGCTTGCACTTCTCATCTCCAACACATCTTGTCTTGCACGAGAAGGCTCTGCTGTCAAAACGACTCCTGCTCTGTGTGCCATCACTCCATGTTTTCCCCTGCACTGGGCAGGTGGCCAAGCAAGTACAACAGGCTCCTTTGGCAGCAGCCAGAGCACCCTGCTGTGCTGGGCTCCCTCCCTGAAGCCTGGGTTACTAAAGCAGAGGGAAAGAGGGGCAAGGCATGGGAAAGGAAGTGAGGGGGCAGGGAGAAAGAGCTGAAGCTGGAAATCTCCAGGAAGGAAGCTAAATCCTTGAATGCTCTGCTAGCAGAGATTCTTGGTAAAACAGGAAGAAGCAGAGCCAAACCCAGAGACTTTGTACCTCCACAAGTGGCAGTGACACCCATCGCCCTAGGGTAACGGCTGCTGGCCCACTGGTGCCAACACACCTCAGACTGTGAGGGGTACTGCAAACAACCAGGCCCTGGTAAGCTCCCGTTTGGCTGTGTGCATTAAAAGTGCATTTCTGCTCATGCCCTTACTTTATCAATCAATGCTTCTTATTGTGCGTCTTGCCCTTCTAGTGCTGCCAGAGCAAGCAGCAGTATCTGTGTGCATTGCATTAGTGGGGGCGTTGTCTCCACCCAGCACCTTCCAAAGCCAGGCCAGAGTGTTCAGCAGGACTTGGGAGAAAGCCCTTCACAGGATCAGTGCAGTTGGGACCAGAGTTATGAATGCCACTACTGTTCGTTCCCCGGGGCTGCAGTGGGCATGCAGCCCTCCTGCAGCATCTGACACTGGCACCACAGTCAGCGATTCTGGAGGTCGTGGCAATGAGTAACCAGACACACCAAGCAGAAAAGCTGTTTGAAGGCCCCTCTAGGAAAAGGCACAAAGGAAGCAGAGCTTGTGAAGATGAAGCTGAGCTACTTATTTGGTGAGAGCCCTGCCAGCTCAATTTTTTCATTGCTCCAGAGAGCAGATCCTCTGTTAAGACTCAAATTGATGCTCTTGGCTGAATTAACAGAGAAGAAAGCTGGCCCCTTGCACGTGCAGTCACACAAAACACTGATGGTCAGGTGAAGTCCCATGAAATGTGTACAATCCAGCATGCTTTAGAAGTCAGACCATTGAAAACTGCAGCCCCACACCTTCCACCCTCCTCAGATCTGCATCCTCTGCTGCTTAGAAGCAAGCATACTGGATATTCCTCATGTACATGAAGCATCAATAAAACCAGGTACTCTTTTTGGCATTTAAACAGCCGAATTGAAATAGATCATTACCGAAAGCAGAGGGAACATAAGACACTCACATAGCAAAACTACTTTAAGGCATTGGAGTCCTTTGGACAGGATGGTGATGAGGAAGCTGCTGCGGAAAGACACAGCATGCAGTGAAAATAGGATGAAATACTAGTCCCTAGGTTTAGGATGAAGTATTTGGATTGTTGGATGAAGAGGCAATGGTCTCACTCAGTCCGACTCTGATGCTGCAGACCACAAGACTAGGAGGAATGCCATGCCTCCAAGGTTGCTCCCTTTCACTCTGTCCTTGCTAGAATCTGACCTCGCTATAACCATGTTACTGCTTAGGTCACAGACCATGCATAAAAGCATTGCCATCCTCAGACTACACCATGGTCAAGCACAGCCCCAGACTCAAGTCAGTTCAGAAGGAGAAAGATAAGGAAGAAACATGGTCTTACGTAGAACCGCAATGAAACTGGTTTTGTCAGCCAGAATCCATATTCCAAAACCCAGAATGACAGCGCCCAGGATCTGAAAGAGCAAGAACAAAATATATATAACTGGTTTATTAGTTTAAACAAATAAGAGGCGGCACTCAGGATTCTCCATACTTCTAGAGTAAAACTCACCATTCTTCTGTTGTTCCCACCTATCTTTCCCATGGTACTCCTCCCAGAGTAAACAGGATTAGCATGACTCCAGGAAGAGAGCCTCAGCCAACTGCACAGGAGCCCCAGGTAGTCCTTCACATGATATTTCAGTAGTACATGAGGTCACACAGGAAGACCTTTCAAAACAATCTGAGGAAGAGACCCCCTGGTGCTAGAACCTTGTCTCAGAAGCACAAGGTAAGACAACAAGGTAAGTGTACAGGTTCTGTGAAGACCCAAGGAAGGACAAGAACATCTAACATGATTTTAAAGATTATTTAAATAGAGAGATCCTTGACCCTATGGCAGCAGGCTGGGAACCAGCTGCCAAAGGATTAGATATGTGGCAGCTGAAACCTTCCCAGGAAGGAAATCTTCAGCTTGTCAGGCTCTGCTATAATGTCATGGCTTCAACCCAAAAATGCAAAAAACCAGTAGCAGGCTCCCTTGACTGAAGTGCTTTGCATCTTCCAAAGCCAGGCTTAGGCATTTTAGCTGGGCTCCTACGTTATGCCAGAATACCCCAGCCCCTCAAGCCAATACAACTTACCACCAACAGAGAGTCAAGCATTATGAAACATCAGCCATGGTCTCTGCCTCTCTCACTACACAGTCTTATCTAGGGCAAGAATTAATAGAGCAGTGTACCCCTATGAGGACTCAGCTGAATCCAGACACTGAATCCAGAAGGGAAGAGACATACAGATTTCCCACCTCAGTTTGAAAGTGGGACAGGAGGAAGAAAAAGTGTACTCTGTTTTAGCTTCCAGATATCAGTGTTTTATACTGCACTGTGAAGTGTTTGCATGTAGATGACCCTGGCTCCTCAGTCAGGATCAGAGCATCATTATACCCGTAATAAGTTAATTATGCTGAGAAGCCTGTAAGTCTGCAGGTTTGATAAGAAGCTGAAACTCGTGCCATACACCCAACTAGAAGTTGCAAAGGCTGGAAACCCCTTGTTGTGCAAAGATCTAAACCAGACTTTAAAGAAACAAGAAAAGGACAAGTAGCGCAAGTGAGATACTTCCAGAGGACATGAACTGCATGTGGCGGTTCTTAACACCAGCAAGATTTCAAGATAGGATGAACTGAAATACTAAATAAACCAACACGGCTGAAGAGAGATTGCAATTCTCTGCTGCATTAGAGAATCTTCTGATATTTGGGAGACAAGAGAAATGCCAAACCACCACCTGACAAGCTGGCTCCACGTTTTGAAAGTTTACACTATGCTTCAGCTCCTCCTACAAAGCAGCTTTTCTGAGCAAAGATAAAGCAACAGTCTGAAATGAGCTGCTTGCAAGCTTTCCTGACTTGGCAGAGGGCACATGTAGTTAGCTCTGGTGACAAGATTAGAAAGTAACCAGACGAGTTCCCAATACATGAAGATGGATGAAGATGACTGACTCAGCTGCAGAAAGCATGTAGCTGTCATCTCCCAGGGAAGAAAAAATAAAAAAAAAAAGAGAGGAAAAAAAAAAGGAAAGAGACACAAGAGTAACAAGAAATCCCCCTTGAGTTCTGTTCCAACATGCTGCACCACAGCACTGGATCTGCTGATCAAACTAGAAAGGCCCCTTGAACGTGCAACAGCTGTGGCACCTAAAAAATTCCTCTCAAACTTGGTATTGCCAAGAACTACTGTATTTACAGTTTGAGGCAGTCTCACATTTAAACTGCAGTCTCAGCAAAGATGCAAACTGGGCTGTATGTGACATCTCTCTTGGCTCACTGACCCTGAAATGTCACCTAAGTTTTGCTGTTGCTGAGAAAACACAGAACGGCTTCTGAGCTGAGTTCCTGGGAAGTTATTTGTTATGAGGTGCTCAGACTATCCAAGGCCTGCTTTCACTCTGATCTTTGCTCCAGTCTACAACTCACGTGTTTGCCAAGAGCTGCTGTGGAAAACACTAGAGGGGAAAGACAGAGAGAAAAGAAACCACAAGGAGAAAACATGGTTCTATTAACAGTATATTTACCTTCCAGCAGCAGTATCTGCTCAGTATCTTCAGGAGTTTGCACAGCACAGCCAGGCTGCATCTGCCACTGGCTTGGGTTCAGACCCTCCTACCCTCCAGGCAGAGATCACATCTGCCACTCATAGAATTTACTTCCTCTACTTTAAACTCCTGAAGTGGGGGACAGATGCCTCCCCCTCCACCCTGGGGGTAGAGACTTCAGCCCCGATTTCAGCAAGACCCCTTGCACACCCAAGTCAGAAGGATGCAGCTCCCTCAAGGCAGGGCCAGCAACTTCCCACAGCACAGCCCAGTGAAGAGGGGCACAGAAGAACTAAGCCATGATGGAGCTAACTCACCTTTCTGGAAGGAGTAGCTAGGGGGGTTCTTGGCTGTCCTCCCCCAGCACTTCACACAGTAGCATTGAGCCTGGTATAGGGCTCATCAGGAGGGCTCAAACTCCAGGCTTTGTTTTTAGGTAGTAGCCTTCAGCTCCATTTACAGAAGGATTAGAAGTAGAACAGAGAGTTATATATTCTAAACAAATAGTTTCCAGAGGCTACTGAATTTGTCCAAGAGAACTGTTTTCCCTTTAAGGAGAAGCGTCTGCTGTGGTCCATGTCTGCTCCCCGAGAAGGTAAAGATATGTTAAGTTTTGACTACAGAAACTAAGCTTATACTCCAAGCTTACAGTTTTGTTATCTTTTGTAGCAAGTAGGCAAGCAGTTCAAATAACCTTCTTCCCTTTAATCAAAGCAGGTCAAAACCCTCCTTGAAGTAAGACTCTAAGGCTGCAAAATACCACCAAGTCCTTGAACTACCTCAGCTATAGCAAGGGACCTTCTCATAACCTCAAGCTGCAGAGAAGTGCCATTTCAACTACTAACTTTGAAAAGAGTTTCCAGTATCTCTTAAAGGCTTAATTCACCAGCTCCAAGCAAGGCTTGAGAACACACTTCAAACAGCAAGGGCTGGCCTGCAAAGGGCACCATCACAGCAGCTGAGCTCAGCATCCAGAGCAGACACAGAGCTCCACCACCAGCATTCACGTCCACATTGGTGCAAGCACTCTCCTCAACAAAACTCAGCAGCTCTGCAAAACCAGCACGAGGTATGCAAAACCCGTCCTCGCAACAACTCAACAGAGCAGTTTATCTGCTAGATTATTGCTGATGCACCATGTTGTATAAACTCAAGAATCCCTATTCAGACCCTGAACCACAACGGAAAAAGCTTCTCATGTCAACTACTTCCTATGACAGTGAAAGAATAATGGATACCACCTTCCTCAACATCTGGCACATGCAAAAAGCTTGCCATCAGTCAAGACAGAAGCAGGCTTAAAATCTTCACTCTAGAGAAGCATCAAGCTCCCCACCAGAACTTAGCAGCTTCAGAGATCTCACTTCCATGGAGCAGCCTGAGGGGAAGGCATTACCCGTGCTGCACAGCTGGCTTAGCAAAGAACTCATTAATGCTGCTTCTCCCTTTGGTCAGCACAGGCCTCCTCACATCCCACCTTAAAGCTCTTGCTCTCCAGGCCCAGCTCACTGCATCCCAAGTGCTTTCCTCAAGAGGGTGAGGGGCTGGCTGCTACAGTAGAGGAGCTGGTTTGGAGCAGGGTGTGCACAGGACAAAGAACAGCTGCTTCCCATCATTTGCAACCCAGATGGGAGGGCTCAGGCCCCCCCAAGATCCTCAGAGGGATTCAGTGCATACCATGCTCCCAGAGTCTTGCAAAATATAGGAAAACGGTGCAGATGTGTCTGACAAGGCAGTTCAACTCTGCCTCCCAACAGCACGACTATCCCCAAGCTGTCTAAGACCATGCCTGGCTCAGCAGAGAGGGGAGAGAAGGGCAATGTGGAATGGAGATGCCCCAATGACCATTGATAGCATCCAGCTAAAACAAGAGTAGTGTTGTAACACACAGTAGCATTTCAGATTGTCATCTCTCTCCTTGCCTCCCATGCTAGTCTGGCTTTCTTGGAGAACCCTCTGTATACAGAGGTTAGCTAATGAACTTGGACCTAGGCTCAGGGATAAGGAAGACTACACAGTACTGGGCTTCAGCAAGACTCAAATGCTGCCATAATTTCTGCTTCTCAGGGTGGACTGGCTAAGTCATACACTGCTTAAAAAGTACCACCTCTACAAGAAAGGATATAGCCTGGATACTAATACACATTCAGAGGACTAGTAGGATGACAGGCCTGGACTCAACTGGATTTTTCCTATCCTTAAAGTGGACCAAATCATACTCTGAAAGACCTCATGGCACTCCAAAAACCTCTCCCCTCCCTCCCATCCAAAAGTTCACCCTGTGCATGTTCTTTGACCACCCCGACTTTTGGCCCTTAAACCAGAGCTGACTACTCTTAGGATAGAAGCAAAATGCAGAGAGAAAAAACAGCAGTGTAAGCCAAGGGAAACCAGATCCATATGTGCCTCAAGGTCAAGCTCGTGTGCACAGTGCAGCCATGCAGGAAGCAAGAGCGAAGCCACATGCAGACACAGAACAGAAAGCAGTGCTCACCTTATCATGCTCCATTTCCCTCCCTGCCTGGCCCTTCCTTCCCCTTACAAACTGCACAAGCGGTAGCAGTATCAGA